ATTTGGGAGGGGTTAATTGATGTGCTGGAGGAATGTTCTAGGATGTTCGAGTTCTTCGGATAGCGCATGCGTGAGACCTTTCCCGCTTATATTAACAGCCTCGACATTCCATCTGCGTGATGCCTGTTTGAAGTTATCTCACACCTGACACTTGAAGGACTTATGATTGGCCTGATGCTATGACCTTAAGGGGTGGAGAATGGACTATTCTATATATCAATCGCTTTCGCGCCTAATTAAGTAGACTTTGCTTTGCAACTGCTTGCTTACCATTTATAATTAGTAAAAGTACTTTTGATTTCCAATCCATGGAGTCTCTAGTCTTTCTTTCCTAATTATGTAATGGAGTGACGCTGACAATTACCTAAAAGTAATGGGATGAATAATTTAAAAACCAGTGATATTACAGCAAAAAAACCTCATATGCAAAATGATGATCATTTGTAGCTGGGGAGGGCTCAATTCTTAGTCATGCCTAAAAAACTTCTGAAGAAAGCTATGTCAGAATGCTGTTCCCTAACAGAGAAGTGGCAGCAGAAAAGACCCTTGTTTTTCAGAGTGGGGACCAAACCTGAGCCCTCAGTTCTTAATCTCATTAGATGGGCAGAGTTGGTACATCCCCAAATTGTCCTAATACATCCTTGATGAAACCAAGTAATTTAACCAAAATAGAACGTTGCAACCCCTTCCAAATTTCTAGCTGAAGAAATGTGAAGTTGGCATGCATTTGTGAATATGGATTTATGCTATTGCAGTACAACCTCTATTAACTGAGAAGGCAGATCCTCAGAGCTGCACAGAAACCCTTTTTTGTCCTTTTCCATCCTTGAGACAATAGAATGCATTTGTAGCACATGGCAAAACTGTGTCCGGAGCACTTGATCACGATGTATAGGAAGGTGCCCTTAGCATCCTCTGCAGGCCCCAACCTTGCCTATGTTTGCACATAATGGAAGCCATGATTTAGCAACTGCAGTGAATGGGTTACGCAACACCTATAGGAAGGGTGGCAAATATAACTCCTTTTTTACTAATACGCGTTAAATAGCAGCACCAAAGAAGACTAAGCAAGCATTTTGGTTGAATTAACTTTAAAAAATATTTTAATACTTCTTTAATAATCCTTTTATATTCACAGATCCTAAACTCATAGGCATAAAAAATAAGAAAGAGAAAGCATACCTCTAGGCTTCACAGGAAAAGAGATGTGAAAAGATCTGAGAAATATAAATAGCAGGTTCCTCACTGAGGATGGACGTTATTAATTTTGTAAAGTATTTTTGGAAAAGGATAATGGCCAGTACCATAAAGCTGCAGACAGATATTTTTCTTGGCGATTTGTACCACTGAGTACAAAGGGATAATAACTTTTGTGTGGCATGGAGGATTGTTGATCTTCCTTTACAGGTATAAATAGGTATTGCTACAAGCGTAGGCGAACCAGGAAATGTTTGCTTAGTTAATATTTGAACTTTGGCCACTGCAACAAGTAGGTAAAAAATTCTGCAACACATACACCTGGGTGTGTTGAAGCAAATATGTCTTTAGAGCCAGTAAGTTCTTTAAAAAAAATTCTTGCTAGAAGTTACTACCTAAACCTAGTTAAATCATGATGTTTTTATGTTTTAAACGATTTAGGGGATTATGTAATGTCACAGCATTGTCTAAAGGACTGCTTGTAAAAAATATATTATTTCAAGCTCAGACAGCTGTTTATTTTTCATAAACTTTATTTATTTGGATTTAGATAATGTCTTAATTGGGATATGGATTTAGACATTGCTTCCATTTTATGGGCTTTAATGAATTTAGCAAGGTAAAGTTAAGCTGCAGAATTTACTTATTGATTTCATTGTGCATTTCTTTTTTAACCTTGCTGAAAGGAGAAAACAAAGCAGGCAATTTTTAAGACGTTTTCAAATAAAAGTCAGGTCTTTTGGAAAAAACCCTGACCAACTCTTTAACTGTTGTTAAGGCTGAAACAAACAGAATGATTTATTTTCTATTGTATCCAGTTATTTAAATCAGCTTCCTTGTGGTAACTATGCTGGGAAACTCTTATTTTGGATGAGGAATTTTTTATTGTATTGTTGGTAACTGAAATAATAATGTTATAATTTTTAAATTATTTTTATTCCTATAGTAGAGATTTTTTATCTCTTCCTGAGCTCTAATGGAGAAAGACATTGATGATGGGTTTGCTAGTATCCAATGCCAGCAAACCCAATTATCCAAAGTAATATAATCCATACTGTGAATAAGTGTTTTATATAGGTGATACTGGCAATTATGATGCAGTCCATAGATAACTGTATTAATTTACATTAATTTAAAATAACGTAGAGGAAATACTCAAATGTTTTCTGCTATCTGCACCAGGATAACCTTAAATTGTTACTAACCTGCTGTTCGCTATTTGCCAATGTAATGGTAGCTTCAATTTTTATAATCTGACTTGGATGTCATGTAAGGATATAAATAGTATACAGAAATGTATAGCTTGAGATGGGGGAAGCATTTCCTGTCAGGAAACCCAGATTGTATTATATAGCCAAAAGAGTAATGCAAAAATATTTGGAAAAGTACTTGCAAATGCTACAATCAGAACTGAGCATGTATTATTCAGTGACTAAGGAATATTGAATGAATAGTCCAAAAATGGAAAATTAGGAGGAAGTGGAACGGAATGCATTGGAAAGGAGTAGACTGGATTCATGCTCCTCCTGGCTAGTTAAGGATTCCAAGGAGATGCCATGTGAATGGTTCCAAGCAGTAGTCTCATTATGGGTGGGGGGTATTCTCCCTGCTTGAATGGGGGTAGTGGTGCACCCTTTTCTTAAGAGTCCATCCTTGAACCCAAGATCAGCGGATATTTTTTGTCCTCTCTCCAGTGTTTCATTTTGTGGAAAACCAGCAGGAAGTTTACTTGCCTAACAACTAGGACTCAGTTAATGGTGGCAACTGAGACTGAAAGCATTGCCATCATTAAGCGATGTAGTCAAACTTATGACTGCATCTCTTAATGATGGGAATTCCAGTGCCAATGCCAAGGACTGTTCTGTAATCACAATTCACGCCAAGCTGAGATAGCATTGGTGGTGTGTGCAGATGACTTCTGGAAAGGTTAGACTTGGGTTGGTACATCCATCCTGGCCTTTCTGGATCTCTCATCATCACTATTTTCTAAGGTAAGGTTGGAGCCCAGCAAATATATGGGAGAGTGCTTTGGGTGGGGCAGGGCAAGGTGTAGTTTTTGCTGATAATATTATTGCCCCTTTTTGAGTGGTGCTATGGCCTAGAGGTGAAGATGCTCACCTTCCACTTGGAAGGTTGTATGTTCAATCCTAGGCAGTAACAGATGTTTCTCTATCAGAGCTCAAAGAGAAAATATCTGCTGCAAACTCCATGTAGACTTTGGGAAGGGCATCTGGCCAGTAAACATTCAGCATCTTTCAGTCACTGTGACATCACCCTGATAAAAGGGATTACAAGGGTTGTAAAAGAAAATATTGCCCCTTTTTGTGCTTTATTGTTGTGAACTGCCTGGGGTTGTTGTTTAAAAGTCATGAAGCCATAATGGCATTTTAAACAAATAAAATAAAACATGTTCATAAACAAAACATTAATCCTTTTTTGGGGGGGAGGGTAAAATAATATTCTAAGATATATTATGCAAAAACAACACTCCTTTCAAAGAGGATGGTCTTTATGGATAAGTATTGTATAAGGGAATCTGAATGATTTTGGAATGTAGAGATATGTGAACTTAAAATCCTTGGCTAAATTGCTTCTGCTCAACCTTTCCAGGTGTGTGCCTGTCAAATGTGCTCATTTTTGCAATTTATATTTGTATGGCAGGAAAATGACACTAAACATATTACATTTATTTTCCTATGAACCAGACAGTTATATAATTTCCCATTATATATTTACCAGGAAGTTAAAAGAGAAACTGACTCTAAAGAAGATGGTTTGCCAGTCAAAAGAGAGAGGCATGGAAATGTGGCCAACCTTGTTCAGCGTATGAGTACTTACGGGCTTCCAACTGGAGCATTCCAGCCTCAGGGTAAAGGCTTCAAAAGAAGTACGTATTGTAGTTGATTTCTCCAGTACGGTACTTTTTAAATTTTATCTATCTATCTATCTATCATCCATCTATCTATCTATCTATCTATCTATCTATCTATCTATCTATCTATCTATCTATCTATCTATCTATCTATCTATCTATCTATCTTGTATTTTTG